TTTTTTTTTTTTTCAGATATAAAAAAGACAACCTAAATTAAATTAGGCATTATCGCTAGAAGAAAATATATATCTCAAATTTTTTTAACAAACTAAATTTAAAGAACAAGAATCATGTCATGATGGCATTAATCATAATCCTACATACCAAAACATAAAAAAGGAATAATAATTATTAGGAAAACTATAAGAGCATTCTGTACACATGCTAATGAATACTAAAGCCTAATAGTCACTCTTTCAAAGCAATCATATTTTTCCCCAGCCCAACTCTTCATTTTACAAATTGATAAGCAATACAGTATACACAGACAACTCTTCATCTTCAACATACCACAGCTGCGATTTTTTATCCTGGTTCAAGGACAGGTGATGAAGACAATTGGATAACTGAACATTTCATTATGTGCTTTAAATTGTGTCNCAACTCTTCATCTTCAACATACCCCAGCTGCGATTTTTTATCCTGGTTCAAGGACAGGTGATGAAGACAATTGGATAACTGAACATTTCATTATGTGCTTTAAATTGTGTCCACTCGATCGATGACGTCCAACGCTCTGATGCGGTCGATGTCGAAGTTAATGATGGGAACAGAAGACGACCTTCTAATGGGGAAAGGGTCTCTCTTTGTTTCACTTGTTGGGAAATGACTACTACTTTTACTCAGCCTGTGGTGCTTGCACAACCTCGTTTTTACGGTATCAAATTCTTGACTCTTACTTATTCTGAGAGTCAGTCGTGGTCTTCAACTGTCAAGTGGACAACATCTAAAGTCCTTCCATGTGATTTATTTGGGGGGACATTATCAACAAACAAAAATAAAATGGCAAGAGGAAAAACAGAACACGTAAAGGAGAGAGATACATGCTCCAAGCGACCACATTCAAATTGTATAAAGAAATCACACAGCAAGATACTTCACTAATTTGCTTATAGAATGTTCCAGAAATCATGCAGGTGAACAAAAACTGGAATGTGATCCCAAATTGATATCCAAACAACGTATCAAGAACAATAAACTTTAATCACCATCAGACATATTACTGACTAGAAACAAATAAGATGCACTTCATGTCATCCCTTACCAATGAACTGAATAGATATTTCTTCTTCAAAACTAGAAGATACATGGCAAGAATTG